AGATCAAAGGAGTACGTTTGGTACTTCGGGGGCTTCATAGGTACAGAACCTTCATCATTCATCACAATCTTCTAGTCTTTCACAAGCTGGATCAGTCCTTTCACCATTAAAGTTTTGAAAGCGGTGGTTATCTCTACTACACACAACTCAATTCCTTCTCCCACACTGCTGTCATGCTTTCCTGGTTCTGAGCATTCAAACTCCAATTGGTGTATTGGGGTTTTGTTTTTCTAGAAAATGGGCACCTTGGATGAGTGTTTCACTTGTTATTCCTCGGTCAACAACTTTTCATACTTGATAGCCACAATCACAAACTCCTGAAGTTCATTAAACTGCACATTATAAAACTTTTTCCTCAAAGGTAGTGTTAGAGCCTTCTGAGCTATGGCTATGAGCTGAGCATGATTGATTGGGAACTGGCACCTCATCTTTGTCCTTCTAAACCTTATCATGAAGTCTTCTGTAGATTTATGTTCATATTATTTCACCTCCACTAAATCATTGATGGTTATATTAGGTTCCAATCAATCATGCTATGAGCTGAGCATGATTGATTGGGAACTGGCACCTCATCTTTGTCCTTCTAAACCTCATCATGAAGTCTTCTGTAGACTTATGTTCATATTATTTCACCTCCACTAAATCATTGATGGTTATATTAGGTTCCACCCTATATAACTGCTCGTGGAAGGCCATCTCCATCTACCCCTAGTTGGCAATGTGATTAGGGGCTAATAAAGAGTACCACTCAGATGCCAAGCCATGTAACGAATTCCCAAACAGTCTCAACTTGTAGTTAGGATTGTCTTTATATGCTACACAGTAGTTGGAAAATTTGAAAATGTGGTCTTTGGAAGACACATTATAGTCTTCCTTATTGAAGGTTGGGAACGCGGACATCTTGAAGTTGATGGGAAAAGGGTTTTGCTCATCAATGTACTCAAGGGTAGGGCTTCTTGTATGTGATCCTGTACAGCGGGCGAGCATTCTGGACCACCATTCTTCTCAATTCTGCTAACTCATTTCTAAGTTATTGGTTCGCTACATTATTGTACGGGGTATAAGGAGGTCTCCACTTCGAGCTATGCTCATTGCTTGAAAAAACCTCCCTTTGTGGTTTTAGCTGCGTTCACCTAGCTTTCCCTCCCTTATTAAACAACGGTAGTGGCCTGTAAGGGAGAGGTTTGCCCGCAGTCACAAGCAAGCCTTTTCCACTAGTTTCTCCTACTTGCTCAGTCATCTCAAACTTCCTTCATTTTAGCCCGATCTGCTTCTACCCTTTATTGGGAATAATACAGGGTTGGGCAAACCTGTTTCTTGGATCTCTTCTTCACAAGGTCGATTGGTTTCATCCTCCTTCTTCTTCCCTTTGTCTTTCTTCTCCTTGAGTAAGGGAAACGAAGGAATCACTAGTTTTTTCTCAGGGCTTGCTTCTCTGATCACTTCTCTGGCATAACCATCTCTTGGTGTGGAGTACTCTAACTCTAGCTTTCTTTGCAGAGTTCCCGTTAAGGAATAGAGTCTGCTAACTTATCCTCTGGTCTCCAGAGCGATCTTCTCTCTACTTCTTAAAACTTGCACCATAGTAGCTTGCAAGTGTTCATTTGTAACTTTTCCATCCGACTTTTCAGAAAAAATCATGCTCTCTATAATCGTCTGACCTTATAGGGATGGGAAATCTTCTGGGTAGTCTATCATGTATGCTTTTGTCTAATAACGGGGTTGCCTGTATTTTGTTGTCCACCTGAAAATTTGTTCATTCTTTCTTCTTCTTGGCATACAAGACTAAAACTTATCCCACAGGGTGTGCCAAAACTTTGTGTTTTGGGCTGGATTTCTCGGTCTAGTCCTTCGCACAGCTCCCCAAGGGAATGGCACTTTGCTGGTTGTCGGGGGCGAGTTCTTTCCGCTGGGTGAGCTGCAAGATGAATTTACAGTAAGTTTGAAAAGTGCCTTTGTGGGGCCTTTGGTGTAGGTCTTGAGGCTCACAATCAAAACTAACACAGATGCGAGGGTGCCATTGTTATCTTAGTATAACAGATTGTTGAATATGTGTGGGTTAAGTTAATTACTTGCACCTAAAGTTACTCAAACTTCTTGTTTATCAAAGGATTGTCACAGATGGGTTAAGTCTGCATTAAGTTCTTTTTCTTGCCTTGTAAACAAGGACTTTTAGTTCTTAATCTTGTATGTCCAAAATGAAGTGAGTTCAAGGCCCTTTCAACCATTCTCACGATAACATTTTACTTTTAATGAAAACAAGCTTAAAAACTTAACCAGATTTGGATACAAATGAAGTTCTTAAGTGGAAAACAGTTGAAAATTACTTGAATACATGAAGGAAAGTACGCTAAACGACAGATTTATTACATATAAGTATAAACAAAAGAGACTTGGGCAAGAATTAACCTTGTCGGGCAAGGTTGAACTTCTTGCAACCCCTTCTCCTTGTGCTTATAAAGGTTTGTATGCTAAGAGGAATGAAAAGTACATAGGTTTTACACGAGGGAATCGATACTACAATACTAAGGGAAGGTAGCAAAGCTTTTACACTAGACAAAAGATGACTTTTCCTAAGGGAACTATAGCTAAAAGGACTGAATCTGGACAAGTTTCAGCTTTCTCGGTACGAATAGACTTAAGAACAAAGTTTGTATGTCTTTTGATTGATTGGTTGAGTGTCCTTGTCTCTGATGTCTCTTTCTCCTTTTATAGACGATTTGGCCTAACTGTCTTGGCTTTGCTTCTGGCTGATAGCATTCAGGGGCAGTGAGTCATAACCTATTTACTTGTCATGCCCTTAAAAAGTGCTTTTTGACTGGTGGTGAGTTGGTCTATGTCATCCATCGCTTCAATCATAGGCACATGGCTTATGCCTTAGCTAAAATGGATTCAATTCACCTCATGCCTATCGACTAGTGTTCGGGTAAGTCTGATTTGTTTTAGTGCCTTTGGGCTTTCATTAGCACAAAGCCCAATGTTTAATATTAACCCAAACACTTTGTATCATATATTATTCTATTTTGGAGATGATAGCAGGCATTATGACTTACCACCATTGCCATATATGCCACTGCCTTACATTTTTTCCCCTAGTTAGCCATTTTGAGCCTATATGTAAGCCTTTTGTTCTTAAACCTACATTTTCCTTACCTAGTCTCTTATATTAAAAATTCCTTACCCTACTAAGAACCTAGTAGAGTACGTTTTTCGAAGGAGAGATTTGAAGGTTATTTAAAAGTTGAAGATGCAAATTTTGTGAAGAAAGCCAACTACAAATGAAGAGCAAAATGAATCACAAGTGAGCTACTAGCATTATAAGAAATCAAGTGTGTCATTGTAAATGAAAAGGAAGAATCATCAGAAATCAACTGTGCAATTATATGTCGTTCATCCAACCACTCAATTTACTGCCAAGTTGCTTGGTTAATTGTTGCATGCTTCTCTCGGTTTCATTTCCAACTACTCTATTAGTTTCTTAGACTTTATGTTTCCTACATCCTTCATTTCTTTAACCAAGTACCCGAAGCCCCATTACAACCCTTGACAAAGACATACTTGATCCAAAAAAGGTAATTTTTGATGCGTGGAGATGAGATCAATCTGCAAGCCTATGGTAGAGCATTCATGTAATGATCTTTTGAGGTTAAATGATAATTCGAGCGTGTGTCTTGTGAGTTTAAGGTTTAAAGTTAAGTTGGTCATGTAAGACTTAATTACATTTTTGTAGTATCAACTTTCAGCTATACTTGCAACTACACTCATACCTGTTATGTTTTCAGGAAAATGTTAGTTTGTGAATAAGAATTCAGAACTACATGTGTTTTTGCACTCTTTCATTCTTGTTTGTACAATCATATGCTTCTCATATAAATTATTAAACACAAAAAAAAAAAAAAAAAAAAAAAAAATCATATCATTTGCATGTTGCATATCATTATATTTTTTTTTCTTCACAACATTTGTTTAGGGGGAGCTTAACAATATGGAAGATGTGTTTCTTTCCATGCTTATTTTTTTCAACCGTTGCACCAGTATTCTTTTTCCTTCCTAATTTGTCCCCACTTTTATTCTTCCGAAGAGGTTCAAGTTCACGGAAAGGAAATCATTTTCCATTACATTTTGTTATGTTCCGCTTATCTTTTGCTCACTGCACCCGATGGTTACCTCTAAGGTCTTTGACCTTTCTAGACAAAAAGGGGGAGAAGTATGATGCTTATATTTAGGGGGACAAGCAGAATTTCAAAAACCTGGTTGATTTTGGTTGCTTGCTATTACATATATATACGCCTTCTTTTTCAGCAACTTATATCTTTTGTGCGTTCCAGGTTTTCTTGTTTGAGCGTGCGCAGTTTACAGACTTCAATGTTATGCATGGTCTTTCATATTACTATTTGTTTGTAATATTATGGTTGAGGGTTTTGTCTAGGAAATGCCAAAGGGGGAGATTGTTAGAGTAAAATTGGCAAATCCTAACAAAACGCCTGAGTTTGTAATGTCTTAAACCAGTGCATGTTTTCGGTTTTAGTCTAAGTTTGTCTCTTGTGCTCTTGATCACAAGAATACCAAGCGTTTCGGAAACACTTACTCAGGTATGTTTGCATGCATGGCATCTCATGAAATTATGGTTTACATTAAGTGTTTTTGGGCAGCAGTTTTTAGCAAGATTACAAATGAGCTTAAACATTAACTAAACCTTGTTGTTGCCGTGAACTATGGATTGGGTTTGGATATTTGACGTTCAATTTAGGTCTTACTAGCAAAGAAACCCGCGCTCTGCTGCGGGTTTGAAACCATAACCACAATTTAGCACACCCATTTTAAGTAATGGGACTAATTAACCTTTCCAACAATGATTAGCAACTAAAATTGATCCACAACTTAATAAAAATAAAAGACCAAGTTAAAAACTGAACACCATTAGCAGATTCATATGTATACATAATGGCAGGTCCATAAATTTTATCATGAATTCAGTTGTAAACTTGATTGTGCTCATGTAAAAAAAATTTAACTCGTTATAATTATTGATTCATGTAATAAATGAGTTGATAGATCCATAAACAATATGGAAACCAAATACACATGGAACACTCTATACCTCCCATATACAAACAAATTAAAGAGGTCATATTGTAGAACAAAAGTATACCTCCTGCAGCAAGCTTAAGCTTCGCCTCCAGTGGAGCAACAATGGATTCAATGGGTGGCATTTCATCATCTTTCTATGCAGCGTGAACTCTTCAAAGTCTGCCTTCTGCTGAAATATCTTGATATAAAACAAAACCCCCATAATCAGATTAATTAGGGTTTTTTCTTCATAGTTTCATGTACTTTAAAAGATATATGATGTAAATTATACTTGAGTATTATCATTGTGTATAGAAAACTAAACGGATATATCACATTCAAATTTTAGTATGCTGATTACCAAAATACTTTAAATGGTTCTTCAAATTATCATTGTCATATACCATGACTATGCTGACATATCACACTTTTTTTCCAAAAATACCTGAAGAAATTTCAAAGAACCTTCAAAAGAAGTTGCAGAACAGGTTTCATCTCAACTGACTCTATAAAAATCAATTATTTATAAAGACTGTTAAGTGTATCTATAAAGTAAAATAGGTGGAAACCTTTACTGGATAAACTATCTGCTCAAATATTATGTACGTTTGATCAAGGTTCGCATTCATGAGAGTCATTTGGAGAGCAAAACTAACAGCAGCTTAGATGACCATCTGACCTCTGGACTTGGTAGTCCCATCTCGTAATTCCAAAAGTTGTGAAAATAAATCAATACCAATTCAAATTCATATGCCAAAATTATCAAATAATGTTCAATTAGTTTAATTTCAATGACCTCAACATTCTGGAAAGGCAATCCAAAGCTGCTGCCCCCTTGAGAGACTGAGTGACCATTTTCTGGCAGCTCAACAAACAATACTTCTCCAAGATGGTCCTAAAACAAAGCTTCACCTGCATCACTCAACCCATGATCTATTCACCCAAAATCAAACAATCAGATTGAGATACAAAAAATTAATATGTGCTTACGCCCCTCCTCTTGACTTTGAACTCCCCCTGCATATTTTTAAAAAATTACAAATTAAATTAAATAAAAATAATTCAATCAAATTAATCACAAATTTCATTTGAGTAATCATTAAAATCGAGAGAGTATATAGGCGAGTTATGGACAATTTACTATGGCTCAGCCAAGTAAGGACCAATTGTAAAAAGCAACATGAAGTCAATGTGTAATGAAAAGAAGAAAATGAAATAAAGATAGTAATATTATCACAAAAACAGCAGCAAGAGACCTTAATTAATTAAGATGGCTTATTTTAGTGAGCAAAGAAAAGCTAGCAATTAACAAAGTATGGATTTATTTGAGAAAAAAACACAGGATGAAATAAATTATTTCTTTCCAAAAGAGTATAAAAATACTACCAGAGATTCAAAAATATCAGTTAACACAAACAAACAGCAACAAAAGCCATTAGACATAAGGTAAAGTACCAAATACTTGATCAAAGAAAAAAGAATCATTTACCTCTACGGCTCTAACCATGTGAGGGGAACTTCTTCTTTCACATTTAAATGGTGTTTTGAAGACCAAACATGTTTCTTTCCAAAGAGAAGTGCCTGATGAAGATTAAAAATATATATATATAATTCAGGTTGCATCAAAAGAAGTAATAAAGTGGATAAGAATGGCAAAACATGAAAATTGAACACAATGAATTACTAACATGATTAAATTTTCTATCTTCTACTCTCCAACTATTTTGACATAGCACAACAATTAACCATTTAAAAGAGTTGTGTACAACATAATTGATTTTCTGAATTTGGTAGACATACACTATCTCTTTGCTTCAGTAGTTGAAAAGAGAAATGGAGAAATCATGAATGTGTATATAAAAAGTTGAACCTTATGGGAGACGAAGAAATAACTCTACAGCTAGCAAACTATTAGAAATCCTGTTTACAAATTTACTCACGTTATCAACAATGCCAGCCATTGCCTCCTCTCTCCTTTTGCATTGGGATGTATAAGTTTGTTTTCAATAAAACCCTGTAAGAAAGGGAAAGTAGAGGAAAGTTTAATGATGCAAAACATACACTGCAACATAATACCCTTCTCAAAACAGTCACACATATACATATCTAAAACCAATCGGTAAAAGATAGACAGACAGGGGAAATGAAACACAGATGAATCTACAAAGACTCGTAATTAATCACTTTGTTGTCCAAAAACAAAGACGGAATGAAAAACATTTTGTAGAACAATACAAAAATATTCAATACAACAACACAACAAATGAACGTACAAACAGTAATTGTTTCACAACATTAAAAAGTTAGGGTTAGCAAATGAAACCTGAAATCCCAAGTCAGCAGGACGTTTCCTGCAATCCATAAAAATAAGAGAATAATGAGTTTTCTCGTCTTGAAACAATTGAAATAAAAAAAATTGCATTAAAATTAGGCAGCAGAGAAGTCGATGCACAACCTCATATGCACACACAGAGACACAGATGCATACAATTTAAGAGCATTGGAATTGAAATGGTAGGCCAGACAGAATAATAGACAAAATTTAAACTACAAAACGGAAAAAAATGGACCTTTGAACAGTTAACAGAAAAACACAGGAACCTGAGAAACAAAACTGAGAGCAAATGAATAAATAGAGGGGCAGAAAATCCCCAAATCGATTAAAAAAAAGACAAAAGCATGCTACCTAACCAACCAAACAGTGCAGAAAGATTTGTAAAGTAATTCTGGCCTCTCAATCACAACATGCAAGCAGATATAAATGCAAGTAATAATAAAATATAAATATTTGAGTACGAAATCAAAATGACAAACCGAACCTGCAAGCAGATATATATGCAAGAAATAAATATCTCTGATTATTCCACTAAAATCTGACCTAACACACTAAAAAATTCGAAAATAATCCACAACAAAAAACCAGATCTAAGCTGATAGGAAAAAAAAAAAATTTTTAAAAGCACTTGGCTTTCGAAATTCAGGCATGTAGCTTCCCCTTTCCTCTTCGTTTTCTTTTCATCGTCATCTCTCTCTCTCTCTCTCTCTCTCTCTCTTCCGCTCTCTGTCACAGTCCATCCCCCGAAACCCTCCTTGAAGGACAGCAAATGAAATTGCAGACAACAGCCATACCTCTCCCTGCTGTCTTCCCCTCGGCATCTCTCTCTCTGTCTCTCTCTCTCTCTTTCTCTCTCTGTCTGTCTCTCTGTCTCTCCGTTTCTTCCGCTCTCTGTGAGAGCTTAATTTCTCCGCTCTCTGTCACAATCTCCATCCCCCCGAAACCCTCATCGAAGGACAGCACACAACAACTCTCGAACTCAGTCAAAACCGAGAAGATATCACCCACTTTCCCACTTCTGATATCACCCACTCTCCCTGCGCTGTCTTGCCCTCGAAATCTCTCTCTCTCTCTGTCTCTCTCTCTCTCTTTCTCTCTCTGTCTGTCTCTCTGTCTCTCCGTTCTTCCGCTCTCTGTGAGAGCTTCATTTCCCCGAAACAATAAATGAAAGACAGTAAGTGGAAGCCTTACACGGCAACCCTTTAATTCGCTCAAAACCCAGAGGACAAAATTGCCCTTCCAACCTAGTCCACAAATAATGGGTTTCTTGCAAATAAGATGAAATCAAGGGGTAATTCGTCCTAAACCATCCGGACAAAATCACCCTTATCAGTTCAAATAATATCCTTCAAACCCAGCCCAATGCTCATGGTTTTTGTGTAAATAAGATGAAATCGAGGGGCAAACAATTGACTGTAGCCCAATGAACAGTCAATCCCTCCCTAGTTTTAGAATAGATAATTAGTTAAAGCCCATCTTTCTTAGGTGGTAGTATATTCTCTAGTATTTGTTTGATGCACACAAATAATGTTTGGTGGACTTTCACACTTATCAGCACAAAACAAATAATATCTCTTGGTTCTTTATCTAGTTGGCTAATAAAAAAAAATTCAGTTTGCCTTGATCACGTCTCTTTACTCTGTTTCACCTACGCCTGTGTGTGTGTGCGCGCGCGCGCATCAGTTTAGGGTTTTCGCTGCTGCTCCGTATCAGAACATATATATGCACCGAGAGCAGTCTTTTATTTGAGAGAGCATGCATTAGGTTTTTAGAAGTCATCATGGTATCATAATTGTTGGTTTTGGTTGCTGCAGCATGCATTAGGATAGGCTTTGTATTTGGGCTGTTGTTTTTGTGCTTAATTTAAAGAAAAAAAGAGGCTTTGGCATAGCACACTTGCATGCACCAAGGGATATTTGAGCTTTAGTCAGCAACATTAGCAGCACAGCATATATTCCTTCATTGTTTTTGTTGTCCATGAGCCGCATGAATTAGACTAGGAGCTTGGTTGTTTTTGCTGCATGAAATATCATTTGAAAGCAACGACATGTGAGCAGCCCGTGTGGACAGAGAAGGATTTTCATGAAGAAAAATCAGTTTTATTGTAGGTGTTTTCAATGAGAAAATATTAGTTTTGGTTCGCTGATTTTTCCTGCACTTAAATTAAAAATTAATTATGAAAATGTGCCTTGTGATTTTCGTAATTGATTAATTTTTTAAAATCATTTCATTTCATACATTCTGCATGATTGTGTCAGTATCTTGCAAAGTTCGAGGAGCCAGTGATTGATGACTGCATTAGTGTTGTGCCACTTCCACTCGAAGGCTGAAGAAAGAACGAGTAGCAAAGCGCGAAGACAGAGCTACTAGCTAGTATGCATGTCTAGTTGATGAATTTTGTAAGTCTTTATGTATTCGTTCTTTCTTAGTGTTTATCCTGGCTTGGGAGCCCGATGATTTTCTCAGTAGTGGGTTTTGTCTTGTTAAATCCTACATCCTATGTGCACATTTTATTTAGGATAATTTGATATGTGTTGTGAATGTAGAAATTAAATTAAATTTGAATTGGGTTTTTAAATTGGAACCTATTTACCCCCCTCTAGGTTAAAATAGTACCATTCTAGAACTTTCATCACTTGATTTCTTCTCATCATGTGTCAACTAGCTCATTACAGCCACTCGATGGATAAGAGGAAATGGCAAACCAACCTTTAGGTACTATAACAGACAAGGAGACACCGGCGCAAGACGATATGGTAGATATATAGCGGGATTGGGAAGACAAGTTACTCATAGTGTTTCACGCTGGCACATTAAAAACGTGTCAACGGGTGGAACCCATAAAAATTCTTGCGAAGGTGGTTTGATACTGACTCTTCTGTATATATCACAAATTCAATGCATGGTTTTAAAAGACAAAAACAAACAACTAAAAACTATTATAATATCTTTGTTGAGGAATGGACTAAAGTATCTGTTGAGGCTATCCGTATTGTCAAGCTCGGACTTACAACTTTTGAGGGAAACCAAGACCATTATGAGTGCCATTTTTCAAATGAAGACCTTGGGAGAGGCTCATTATGTTTTGGGAATTGAGATCATAAGAGATAGGCAGAGAAAACTTCTTTTTTGTCATAAAAGGGCTACATTGAAAAAGTGCTTGACAGGTTTACTATGGAGAATTGCAACAAAGTAAATGTTCTAGTAAGCAAGGGTGATAAGTTCTCATGAGATCAATGTCCCAAGAATGAACATTAGTCTAAATTGATGAAGTTGAAACCATATGCTTCATTAATTTATTTAGAACATGAGCAATTTAGTAATTATACTGGTTTTAATTCCTAATTAGGGTATTTGGTAAACAAGTTTTATGGAATCAACATTATTCCCCTGATTCCAGAAAGTTTAGTAAACAACTTCCATAAGAATCCAATTTTGATTCCTCCTCAATCCAACCCTTTCTCAATTTAATTTCTCCTCTGTTGCGCTAAAAATTAGTTAAGAAAATTATAGAGGTGACACGGGGACTTTTGGGTGAAAATGACAAAATTGGCCTCAAGGTACACCGAGATTTCCACGAGCATGCAACAGACAATAACGACTCAATCAAGGAAGAGTCAAAGGTGATCAAAATGGTATTCATTCAAATCCCTCTCATTCAAATCCCACTTGACGAATTGCGGAGCAACGACGATTGCCACCACCCACTGCCACTACCGTGGCCCAATCAACCATCGGTGCAATTTTTCTAGCCAATCAAAACCCAGCCTGTAAGATCCCACATCACCCAGGGGAGTGATCCTTATATGTATATTCCCATCCCTACCTAGCACGAGGTCTTTTAGGAGCTCACTTGCTTCGGGTTCCGTAGGAACTCCGAAGTTAAGCAAAAAAGGGGCTAGAGCAATCCCATGATGGGTGACCCACTGGGAAGTTGCTCGTGAGTTCCCAAAAATAAAACCGTGAGGGAATGGTAAGCCCAAAGCGGACAATATTGTGCTACGGTGATGAAGCGGGCCTGGGAAGTGATTCGCCCCAGGCCGGGATGTGACACAGCCTGTGCTGGTGTAACCTATAGCCCAATTCCAAAAATGGCCAAAGCTTGGAGGCCCGTGAAAAAGACCCTTCGTCAAGCCTCCAGGATCAAGCCTAACGGCCCACTTCAAGCAAAGCTCAGCATGCTTAATCCAGCGAGCAACGCATGCCTCCACACGAGCGAGCCTAGCAACGGCTGCAGCAGCAGCCCACATGGAAGCAACCCATTTCAGCAGCTTCCTAGGCCTAATCTACTCGTACTCCAGTAGCCCAACCGGTTGACCTATGCTCCAGACGTGTGCCCGCGCCTTGACCCAGATCCACTCCAGTAGCCCAACCCATTTTTGGTGATCCGAACCAATGTTCTAAAAAACAGCCTAGGCGTTGGGCTATGGTGAGCAGAGGCGTTTTCTTGCAAATTGGTTGGAAAAATCGAATAGGCTCTGGACGGCGGGCTAGGCGGGGCTAGGTGGAGCTAGGCAGTTTTTTTTTTTAATGAAATTAAAAAATAATATAAAAATCCTATCTAAGTCTAAGTGGTTTAAAATTGTGAACTTGTTGTACATGTGTCATCCTACAATATTCCTCACTATGGTTATATGGCATATATGCTTAATGTGTTTTTATATTTTGGACTTGTTGGATACTCTTTTTGCATTTATCATTTTTTTTATTATCTTATCCATGGATTTCACACAAGTACAATTTTTGTAAGTGTCAATGTGCACTTATTTACAAGATATACAAGAAATTTACCTAAATTTGCCTAGGCCACCTGGGCGCTAGGCGCCAGCCGGCCGCCTGACTAGCGCCTAGCGTTTTTTAGAACCTTGATCAGGAACCATTTTTTCAATGCTTTTGACCTATTTTATGTAGATTTGGCCTATTTTAGCTCAAATCTTGCACCCGGAGTCCATTACACTTCTACCACTGAAGGAGACGCATACCATCCAAGCTCTTCCAACCTACATGACGAACAACACTTGTCCCGACAAGTCATGAAGTTGACAAGGGCCCTCGTGCAGTAGATGACCTTAGTGAATCAGCTTTTGGTACTGAGATGTAGCGTGCCCCAAACGAGGTGTCCCAAAGTAGGACACGGGCAAACGACGAACCTCTCCAGCAATGTCCCGACAATCAGCCCCTCAACCAGCCACAAATCGAGTGTTTAGGTAGTGTACACTTTCGATTGGGCCCTTGAGATAGCATATAGTCTCGTCTTAGGGTGCGGAGGAGCGTGCACTTTCAGTTAGGCACACAAACAAGCATACACTCATGGTTGAGGCCACACTCCGATAATCAACATGAGTAACTGTACAGGCAAAGTGTTCATTCGTGGCTAGGCCTGCAAAGAGCATCATTCACTTCACATCGGAGTAGGCAGCACGACGAACGGAGAGAAGCAATCACACAATCTGGCTCAAGTTCAACCGATAGCCAACAAGTAATTCACTTGCCTACTAACGTACCACATGTACCGTAGCCGCGGTATAGACAAGCTGAGCATATGGAAGAGTAGCCTAGACCAGCAGGTCATGATCGGGGGCAGCTAAGAGCTTTGCTACCCCCAACAAAGGTAAATTCATGAGGAAGTAGAGAAGCTTATGACCAAACGATTACACGATTTCCTAACATAATGAGGTCACTGACGAGGCACTACGACGATACATGACCAACATAAGCAGGTCACCCTTCACAGATAAGATCGAGTAGGTAGAGCCTCTACGCAAATTCAGCATGCCACGTTTCACATTCTTCAAAGGGGATGGAAACCCTGAGAGAAACCTAAGACACTACCAAAGTGCAATGATCCTCTATCAAAACAACAACGCTCTCATGTGCAAGATATTCACCATCATTCCACAAGACGATGAACAAGATTGGTTCCACACCTTGCCACCACAATCCATCCAGAGTTTCGATGAACTTTCTTTGGTTTTCACCAAAGAATATTCATCATATCACTCGATCAAGAAAAAGTCCAACCATTT